GGATAGGTCTAGATAATATGTTGCACTATTTTTAGGACTCAAATAATTTTTTTTTCATATTCATAAATCAAGATGATCAATTAGAGGGGTTTTCAACATTAAAACAAATTTTTATGATAAAATTTTCAAGTGCATATTTAATTCTCCATTTTAAAGTTGCAATGATGCAATATAAAATTTTGTTAGGGTTTGGAATCTTTTTTTTTTATATATAACTGCATGGTAAAGGCGGAGAAATCCTTTTGAAGGTTTTTCACTGAGTGAGTTTTGAAGTCCGAGTTTAATTATTTTGATAGAGTTGTAATAAAACATTTTACTTTTCGATAGTTATAAAAAAAAAAAAAATTTACTTTTCGTCACATTGACACAAGGAAAGTCGAATTGCGTTTAGCGCAAGGATAATCCACAAAATTCAGGGAAAAAGTGGGGTCAATTGGGAAAAGGGGCACCCATTAAATAAGAATGGATAAAATCATCAGTTTGAAGGCGAAATTATTGGGCTCCGTGAATGATTGACTGTATCTGTCTTTCTCTCTCTTACCATTCACCTCTCTCTCCATCTTTCTCTCTCTAACCCTGCGCTTCTCTCACTTCTCATTCGCTAGCGACCCTTGTAAACCGGTTTTAGAGAGAGAGGGGATGTCTATGCTCATATCCCCTTAAATCCAGACCTGGTCTCGGGTCTTGGGCTCCTTTTACAGTAATGCCCTTTCGTATAGTGCGATACGATACAGTGTCTCTATACGAGGGCCCACGCGTGGCGTATGCGAATTCCTTGTGAAAAGCGTCGTCACGCGTACAGAGGGTTGCACGGTGTTTGGTTTCGTCACTTCATTGCACTCCCTCCGATGGTTGGCTTTACCTCCCCTTGCTTTTTGACTGCATACATTAGTTTTTTATCTAGCCATAAGTTTTTTTTTTTTGCTTTTTTTTTTTTTTGAGAAAAAATATATATAAAACCAAGGATCTGAACTATCAAATTAGAGCTTATATCAAAATTTTTAGTAGAAGAAGTTGTTTTGATGTTCAAATATCCTCAAATTTATCATCTAGACATCAAGATGTATGGACATGAGAAAAAAAAATAGATTTCAAATTTTGGAAATAGTGCATCTTTTAATGCAATTTTGGACTGTCAATATTCAAGATTTTTAAGTTCTAAATCTGCTCAATCTACTCTATTTTTTAAGCTCTAAATTTTATAATTAAATATGAAAATATATTTTAAGGCTATCACAAAGATTTCCAGTATTGAAACTACATTTCTTGACACTATTTGGAGGTGCGCTTTATTTTGATTGTTTAGAGCCTCGTCTTTATACAAACCTGCGAATAGCTTTTTTTTATTTTTGTTTAGACAAGGGTGAGGTTTACCTTTAACTTTATAGAGTTAAAATAAAGGCAAAAGTGTATATAAAGTGTCAACCTTGTACTTATATTGTACAAATAAAGTATACCTAAAAAATCCACTAGAAAAGGTTGTTCTTATACTGGAAAACTCTCAAATCGGTCATCTCGACCTCAAGTTTTATAGACTTGAAAAAAATGGGATTTATAATCATAAAAATAACTCGTCTTCTAACATATTATATGGACTTACCATTTTCAAGTGTTTATAGGTCTGCTTGATTGTCACTATTTATGGAATTTTAAATTTCATAATTGGGAAAAACAATAGTTTTTCATATCATTGTAAGGTTTTGCGGCACCAAAACTCCATTTTCAACTTAGTTTTGAGGTACTCCTTACTTCAATAGTATAAGGTTGACACCCTATACAAACCTCACCCTCAAATAAAATGTGTTTCTAAATTTTATTATAAGATGGAATACTAAAAATCTCTCTAATTATAAAAGTCTAAGCTCTAAAAATGGCTCAACTCAAGTAGATCTATAAAAGTATGAAAAACTTGAAAATTGACAATCCAGATAATATTTTTTGAAATGTACTATTTTTAGGACTTGAAATCTTTTATTTTATATCTTTACATGTTGATGTTGAGAATGATTAATTAGATAGCTTTCCAACATCAAAATAGCATTCTTTGATGGATTTTTGAGATGCAACTTTATATAAACATTTTCCTTCCGTTTTTAAAAAAACTCTTGCACAGGATATATTGTCTGCTTACTCTTTTGGATAAAACCCAATATAGGAGTAACCTTAGAACATTAAATTTTAAAAATTTAATATCTTTAATTCATAAACTAGTCTTAAAAAAAAAAAAAACCAATTTCATTCTCTATGCACTTGAAAGAAATGAAGTATCTGAAATTGAACATAGACCCTCCAATTCTTTGAGGATGAGATCTAAGTGTTAGAAAACTCAACATTCAAATTTTGATTTTAAATAGGTATTGTTGTGATTCTTTGGTTTTCAAAATTTCATACTAGAAAATAAAATACTTAGGAGGTCTCTTGATCTAGGGAGGTGATTACAGTATGGTCTCAGGGAGCCTTGTATACTTGCCCTCATTTTGTTTTTGAACGTTGTATGGTCTTGGGGAGCCTAGTGTACTTGCCCTCATTTTGTTTTTGAACATTGCATGCGTGCTCTCTTAATTATGGATTACTTGTTTGTGTTTAGGATCTTGATTGTTTCTTTGTCTCTATTTGTCTATAATATTTTATAATTAAAAA